CATCATGGCCACACTTTTCTGGATTTAGTAAAAGACAATTATGTATGTTAGCTACTTTTAAAGAAATTCTTAAAAACCAGTTTCCTACCTCAGCAATGTAATATATATTCACTTCCAAATGGTAAACATAATTCCCATATCAGAAAGTGAGTTAAAATTTCTCAGTCTGACTCTCACCAATACTTATTTCAGGTTTTTGCTCTGAACTGGTTTAAAGGAAAGAACAAAAATGTTGAGGTTTTGGAAGTGAGAATACTAGTTTGCCAAGCTACATAGACAGAAAGAAAGAACGACAGAAAGACAGAACGACAGAAAGACAGAACGACAGACAGAAAGACAGACAGACAGACAGAAAGACAGACAGACAGAAAGACAGACAGACAGAAAGACAGACAGACAGAAAGACAGACAGACAGAAAGACAGACAGACAGAAAGACAGACAGACAGAAAGACAGACAGACAGAAAGACAGACAGACAGAAAGACAGACAGACAGAAAGACAGACAGACAGAAAGACAGACAGACAGAAAGACAGACAGAAAGAAAGACAGACAGACCCCCCCTCGGAACATGAAACAGAAATTACATGGAATTCTGAAATTTTCATTTATCCAAAATCTCCTGGCCAGCCTTAACCTTTCTGCAGGAGTTTGGATCCCTAGAGTTAGAGCAGGATCCCTGGAGTTAGAGTAACAAAGGAAACACAGCCACTGGTCCCCAGACGTAGGGGCACACTCTGCATTTGCAGATTTTTAATGGTAGGGCTGCAGGAACCAGAAGAGTTCTAACACTTTTGGGGGAGGATGCCAACTCACAAGGAGTCCCGATTATCCTTATGCTTCGGGTCACACACCAGCAGTTTCATTGCCAGCTTGGAGAATTACAACTGATTACACGCAGACGTGTCCATCCAGGTTTTACTTTTGTTGCGGTAGAAAAGACCGCGGTCAACCCATCATTTTCCAGTTGCTGTCCCTAAGCCGGTTGCAGTGAGACCAGTTTCAGAAGCGCCAACTTCCACTGTATAACAACATGCTCTGACTTGCAGTACTAACATTGGCAAACTCATTTAACTGTTAATTGGATTGAATGCACATAAATTGCTGGTGTAATGAACATTTATGAGAGCTTCAAGGGAGGGTCCAGATGCTCACACAGAACTGGAGTGAAAGGAGATGCATGGTGACCACCACATCTGCTACATTTCCTCTCTGACCTAAGCTTGTTTTTTCTTCAGGCACAACACCAGACATACCTGATTATCTGCCTTAGAGCTGGCAAAAGCAGCAGAATATAAATGACTGAAGGTGTCTGGACCACAACTATCATCTTCATTATGCTGATCAAATCATGATGGATACAGCTTCTGGGATAACTGTATACAAATGAACAAAACCTACACAGAAATATCAAAAAAAATTGCACCTCTATGAATCCACTCAAGTACACAAGCCTCTGCAAAGAACAAAGACTAATGAAATCTGACATTAATCTACATTAAAGATTCAGTGATTCAGTTTATTTGCCAAGGCTCAATGATGCATTAATCCTCATCCCATCCCACACACACTCACACGTTTCCTCCCTGGCTTTTCTCCCTTGCTCCCTAAATTCTGAAACAGCAGACAGCTGGGCTGCTCAAGGCCTTGTCTGCATCCAGAAGTTATCTTTAAGTACGCAATTCTCCTTGCATGGTTACAGTTGTTCCAGGACAAGCCAGCCTCCACCACCGGAGCCTGGAAATGGCAGGAGGCTTGTCTACACTGCTGAAGCTAGGATACCTTCCGGCGAGCACACCGGCGGCTTATACCAACAAAGAAACCCTCCTGTGGGCTCACAGCTTAGCAAACTGCCCTGATTTGGTCACAGCGGGCATTGCACAGCTATCATTTTGATAAAGAAGCAAAAATCAAAAACCTTGGTCAAAACACTTATAAGCACTACCAGTCACACAAGCAGACTCACTTGTACTGGAAGACTGGTTAAGGAAGCCTGTGCATGTAAAAATTAAACCCAGTCATGTACAGCCCAACAAAAATCCAGCTAGATACGTAGATACAGGTAGATACAGCTACGTGTTTCCTTTGGAGAGAATCAGCCTGCATAAGTCTGCCAGCAAAACCCCCTGAAGGTGTGAGCAAGGTCCGATTCCTCCTTGTGGATCATGCTTTGAAAATCTCCTGTAGTTCCTTACCATGAGTGACAGAGAAACTCATTCATCCTTCTCCATTTAACACTGTATTTCAGTGATTTTCCCTTGCTGGTAACGTTCCATGAGCAGAATCGATGTTTAACCACATGCAGCAGCTGAGAGTTCGTTCCCCTCACAACAAACCCATCTTCAGTGCCACACAGTGTTTTACAACCTCAGCATCACTGCACCCACTGCCATCAAGCATTATCTAGCCTAGCTCTCACTGTAAAACTTTTTATGATTATTTGTGCAATGTTATGCTGTCATAACAGTATGCAAACCCCCTGATTCGTAACTCTTCCAGCAATAACAATCCTTCTTGCAGATCAGCCCCTGAGAAACAGCTTGTAAGTTACATGATGCTGACCTTGAACTGCACTCTGCCCTACTGAACAGGGGAGGTGGGTCCTGGTTTTAGCCCATTTAGAAGCTGGGGAGATGTCACTTCTGCAGGCAGAAAGCAATACCTCTAGTCTCTCTGCACAGACATCTCACCAGAACAACACCAAGAGATACCAAAAGGTTTGGCTGGGAGACATTAAAATCTTAGGTAAGGTAAATCACTAAATTCTCATGGAGGTGAATGGAACCATGCAATACATTCTACAAGCTGGGAATGAACACCCAGTGCTTGGAGCCTGCTGGTGGAAGGAAAATGGTCCTTTTTGACAACAACCACCTCCTCTTTCCTTAATCACCTCTCTGGTACCTCACTAATTTGAGGGGCACTTAAGCAGTAGTTTGTTACAGATTCTGCAGGGCTTCGAGAGAAAAATCCATGGAAAACACACTATTGCTTTTATTTCTTTAAGGGATGTCAAAGGTCCCACAAGAAACAGGCAATCCCACAGTGAGACAACGGACCCTCTAGGCCAAGAATTCTTACACATACAGTCTAGTTTCAAATGACAGTACGTGACAACAGAACTGAGAGGACACCACCATCATTCCAAGGTTTAACGTATTTTAACATACCTTCATGTATCTCTTCCTCAAACACTATGTGCTAGGATAGTCAATATCTGTAATTTACTCTCCTTTTTTCCAAGCACGTGAAAACACTTGCTGAAGGAAGGGTAATTAGCAGCCTGCAAGAACATTATTTTCACAAGTCGAATGTTGCTGCCCCTCATTTGCATTGTGACCGTGTCTCCAAGCATCAGCTCTGCAGTAGGCTCCTACAAGCTAGGTACTGCAAAAGCTTCAGAAGAAGTAACTTTCTCTCTGAAGTACTCTGTTACGACATACCAGATTAACCCAATTAACCAAAATGAAAAAGCTAAAAAAGCAGTGGCACTTCACCTCATTACCACGCACAAAATCCTATTCCCAGCTTGCCCTGACTAATTCTCCCCCTGGTCTGGCGATGAAGTTCAGCAGCTAGAGAGGACGCTATCAACTAATGTAACTGAAAAGGTGTACCTCCATGTATTTGATGGTGATTGCAGCGAAGCCCATCAGCACACTGAGAGAAGAAAGCTCTCGTGGTGTGGGCTCACACAGCAGAAGGAAGGGAGTCAGCTCTTTTTCCCATACAGCTGTACTCATGGTGGAGAAGGGACATGGAACAGTACTAAATGCTGACTGCTGTCAAGCCATGATCTTAAAATTTATGGACCTGCCTGCTGTTGCCCCAGGAGGCCCCCACATTTTCAGAAGGACCCATCCATGAAAAAAGTGTCTAATGACATGAAAGCCTCACTGAAGGTGACGTAGACTGCTACAGTATTTGTGATCACCCCGATCCTAGTTCCAGCTCTTTGGTATCATAAGTTAAAATGCCCTTTCAGAGTTGGTCCCTGTGCCAGAATTGCTAGAGGAATTTTGTCAGCAAAGGGGGCGACTCACCTGTTCTCTTCAGAAAGGAGCTTTTGGTGGACATTTAATCTTTTGTTGTTGAGTGGTTTCACAACAGAGCCCGTGCAGAAGGCAGCCTGCCTTGTCCTGATGCTCTACAGAAGAGGTCTACCCTCTCCTGCCCTTGGACAAGGGACATGGGCATACGCAGACTCAGAGAGTGCAGCCTCCCAAGCTCAACCTCAGACAGAAAAGCACCACTGCAGCCCTAGACAAAACAGCCTCAGGGTCACTGAAATGGCTGCACTTTGCCACAAATCCCCTGCCTTGGCAGATCTCCCCTTTTTCCAGCCTATGACGCATACTGAGTTGGAAGCTGCAATTATCAAGCCCTAAAGTGAGAGGGCTCGGCTGGCTTTATACCCTAACTAATGAAGTACACAGAGCTCTGGTGCGAACCTCTTAGGCACAGCCTGTAACTTCAGCTACCCAAGTCACAACTGCAAGCCCTGGAGCCGACACTGCCAGAACGCACCATTAGCAACACGCCCTATCACATTCAGCTGCCTGCCACCAACCCACTGCACAACAGCCTTGGGCGTGAAAGGTGGAAGAGAAAAAAACAGGTTCCTGAAGAGCAAAGCCTCTCAGAAATGGCACCTGAAGCTCCCAGGATGCTATGTTTGATAATTCAGTTGGACTCTTTTTCTGGAAAACAGCCCATAACCTACTATTACATAAATCAGAAGATAAAATCAAGTGGGAGTGGGTGCCTGTTATCTGTGTGTGCCGCAACCTACCTATACCTGTATCATTGCTTTCGTTGTGCTGCACGATAGCCACCCATTTTGTCTAACTCTCCTAACATGGGTCCTTATCCCACCCTGGAATCTGGTTCTGGTTTTGCACTGCCATGAAGCCAGCAAACAGGAGGTCAGAATCAGGCACAAGAAACAGCTTATTATTGTCCACCTCACTCTTCCATGCAACACCTCTGTAACATCATACCTGCCACTGTTTTCCCGACTGGCTTGGCATGTATGCTGCTGGGAGGCTTCGGAGGCTGTTTTTCATGGCCGACCCTACAACCGTACCCCCCGTCTCACTCGAGGAAGCCTCGCTGGCCACAGCCATTTGGTATTGGGAATAGTTGTACAGGTTGTTATAGTAAGGATACAGGGACGGCTGGTAAAAACTGCTGTAGTAGGTGGAGTCCACAACCAAATCAGACGTGCTCTCCAAGTGCCCTCTGCTGGGGATGGAAGGGATGTCCTGAATGAGCATCCGTCCCTCTGGAAAAGAAAAAAACAAGCCATTATGAAACAGGAGGCTCCATGAAGACCACTATCTTTCACCTTCTGATGAGCTACTACTTCTCCTGAAGGCCAGACGGAGACTAGTAAATAGGAAGAGGTGGGAACTGAACGGGGAACATGGCTGGATGTTTTGTAGAAACTCAAGTGGACTAGTGTCCACTCAGAGCCAGAGACCACCACCTACACACACCACAGACTGCAAAACAGGAGACAAAACCAACTGCAGGTTAAAACAACGCTCTGAGTCCTCACGCAGCATCAGTTGATCTGATGGTGATTTACATCAGCGCCCCATTATTTTTAAATTCTAACAGTGTGCCAAGTCTCTTTTAACCCCCTGGAAGCAGGAACACTCTAGCTACAGGATGACACCACACCTCTCCAGCCAGTGTCCTGCAGGTGACAGGACACCTTCTGAACATGCCTCTAGAAGAGGCAAACAGCCCCAAGGCCAGGAGAAGCTGCAGCAGGGGAAGCACCGCATGATCAGCCAAGGCATCTCAGAAACCCACATGCCACCTCTGAGCCGCAAGGCCCTCAATCCTTGCCCAGCCGCCACACCCAAATTTAGGTCCTGTTTACCTACAGAATCAGAGCCAGACACAGCAAAAAAACACCACAACCTTACAAAGTCTAACCACACGGTGAATATACATTTACAACTGTAAATCCCACCATCCCCGCAGCCCTGGTTCTAGCTCGTATCCCACCAACCCTTACAGCGTTTGCAGCCTAAGGATCCCTCATGCAAGAATCCCCTGCTCTTCCCATGATGTTGTCCAACTCCACCGTGGAGGAGAAAAGGACGTGGCTTAAAGCACACTGATGAGCTCTTAAGGGCTATCGTATCGAGACGAAGCAGCATGGACAATACGCACACGTGAAATAACAGCCCTAAGAGAGATGTCAGGCAGGAACTGCCTAGTTTGTTTTGCGTCCTTCTCTTGGTATATCTGTACCTTAGTTACTTACCTGCAAAATTAGCATGGTGGCATTTACCAGCCTGTTAGAGTCATATAGTACATTGGAAGTTGTTCCCATATTAGCTGCATGCTAGATCCAATGATCGATTTTAACAATTATTGCCATTTACAATGCAATTCTGTTTCACTTCTTCGTCTGTAATGAAAGCTCTCTGCAATCATGGATAGTGTCCTTCCATGTCACTAAATTATACAGTGCGTCCACTCAGATCTTACTGAGATTTTGTTCACATCAATGAACTGTACCCATTTATTAAGAGTGCTTTATGCCTCCTGCATCTGATTTTTCTGCCCCTCAGACCTATGTGAGCAAGAATCAAGCCAGCTGGCCTTCTTCACACAGAGTACCTCTCAAATTTGCACACAGAACAGAGGAGTCTGCAATGACACAAAAGACCCTTCACAGTTTTTGCAATTTCATATTTTTATGAAATTTTATTATTGCTACTATTCTGCTTTTGGGCAGGCCTGTCTTCAAGTCCTTTTGTCCATGTCTTTGATGAAATCAAACCTCAGACCACTGGCACTGAAAAGCCAACAATTCCAATAAATCACAGCACAGGCCTGACTCCCCTCCCCAAACTTAGCTCCCAAATAAAGCTGCGGTCCCACTGTTCTGCTTTTCATGCTATAGAATAGAAGCCAAAAGCAAAATCCTCCAACACATTCCCTGCTGGGATACAGATTTCACACGAGACAGAGATATGAAAGGCAGCCGGCTGCAGAACTTCTGGCAGGGCTATGCTATGCTGCACAGATCTGCAATTTCTTCTGAAAACTCTGCAGTGTCTTTCCACTTGCAGTGCATTTTAAGAAGGGATAATACTTTCCACTAAGAATACTAGCACCAGGAGATGAGGCCTCTTTACACCTACACACAAAAGGTGAGCCACCCTGAGGTGTCAGCAGCTAAAAGGAAGACTAGGAGAAAGTAGCAGGCTTTGCTGCAGCTTTCAGAAAGGTCTCATGCACTCACTTCCGAACATGGGACAAGAGAGGCTAGGCTGGAACAGAGACCTGCCCACTGCTATCCACAAACTCATACAAGTATCCTTGATGTCTCTGATGTTCCAGTGGCTGGTAATGCTACAGCTTCTTCCTGAAGAAAGAGCAGTGGTGGCAGTCTTCTGTTGCATTAAGAGAAAAAAACATGCTTTTTGCCCCTTCTTTTCTCTTTCTACGTACCTGTGGTTGAGGCTACCATCATTTGCCACCAGAGGTGCAAAAGGGTTGACTTGCTGCCACCCGTTTTTCCTTTATCTAGCTGCACAACAGCCACCAGTGTGGTTCAGCGCGCAGGGCTGCTACAAATCCACCAGAACCATCCTCTGCTTTCCTTCTGCTGTCCCTCCACTCTCTAATAGCCTCTAAAGTACTATCAGCTGCCTTCTCAAGACTCAATATTGAGTCTGTAGAGCTGGTCACCTGCTCAATCAGCCACCCAGGCACCCATACACAGAAATCCCCAGCCATCACCAGCCTGGGGCATTTTACTTTTATGAATGCCAAATTATGGAATCCATGGTCCTCCTAACATCTCTGGCAAACAACCCTTCTGAGTGCCGGCCACAGGACAGGGATATGCCCCGGCAGATTAGCAGGTAAAACAGGAGCTATGGGAAAGGGGAAAGTTCAAGTGAAGGGGCAGAAACACCCAACCCCATACAGAACTAGGACTCCTACAATTGCACTGGAAAGACATCTAGAAGAGTTAATTTTCCCTAAACCCCAATCCACATCATGCTTCTGAAGACAAAAGGACTGGCAACATCTCACAAAGAGCAGGAGAAAGCTGCCACATGCTACAACTCACAGTTTTCCCCAAATTTAAGAGATTAGTTTTTCTTTGATAACATGCTTTGGCACAAGTCTCTGATTTTCTTCTGTAGCATCTGAAGGAGATTTGGTGCTTCACCAAGGGAAGACACCTCATACAAGACATAGCCTTGTGCTATCCAGATTGTGGGTGAACGTCAGGTCAGACCAGGTCAAAGCACCCTACAGGTTATTCTAAACTCCTCACGGTCTTGAACCAACCAGACTGAGGGAAGGATGCTTCTGGAGACCTGAGCTCTTGCAGGTCTTCAGCAACTCTGGCATGCAATGGGTCAAGGACAGGTCTGCAGTGCAACCCTACACTCTTATCCCATCCAGCCCGGCTGAATCATGTCATCTCCTACTACTAATGCATACATCATACGTATACAACACATACAGAACACACACAACTGTAAATACATTAAGGGGAAGGAGTTTTGTTATTAATGGAGAAAGCCCTGAAAGTCTTGACTTTTTTTTCTGAGCAATGAAAGCTCAGGAAGAGAAGCAAGTCAGACCAGCCAGTACCTACATGGAGTACCTTCAAAGAAGTGCTAAGTGCTAAGGGGAGCAGAATTAAAGGCCACAGAACCCTCCTAAACTGTCCTAGGGATAAAAGAAGGCACTCGGAGATCTGCCCAAAGAAGATTTCGTGTTTAACATATGCTTAGGAGAGTTTTTGCCCTACCCGTGAAAGTTGTCTCCAGCCAAAGTCTGCCAGCCAGCTGGTGAGCAAGGACGCTGCTTCCGAGCTGCAGCACCCTCAGGCATGGCCACCGTTTGCAGAATAGGGCAGATCTATTGGCAGTAATGGCTGTAACTAAACTTTAACTAAGTGGGGGTCCTCTGGCTGGTCTTCAGCCTGTACCTGTAGTTCTCGACTCCTACCTACAGGCTGAACCTTCCCACAGCCTCACCTCCGGACGCTCAGCAAGCAAGGTGTCCTCAAGGGAGGCTGTCAGCCAGCAGCTGCGTTTTCTGCCAGCAAGGAGAGAATACCAAGGTTAAGAAAGCAGCTTTCAGCTGTTGGTTTGTTGGGGGTTTTTTGTTTGGGTTTTTTTTTTTTTTTTCCCCAAATGTAATTCAACACAGCTGAATGGCTCTGCTGGCAAGAGGGTCCTCCCCTGCCTCAGAGCGTGCCACATTACACCAACTGCACATGAGGGGCAGCCCTGAAGTTCATTGCTCTAAAGGGAGCAATTTTCAAGAGGAATTAAGCTCTCAACAAGGCAACTGCTGCAGCACCGTCAGACTCCCACTCTGCCCCTCCACCTGCCCTTTAGAACAAGAGGGCTGCGGCAGGAGCTGGGCTCACACCTTGGCGGTCTTCACCCTCTGCGCAGAAAAACTGGGAAGGGCTCCTGGGTCTTTCCCCTGCTGCTAGCCACAAATTTTTAGCATTTTGGAAGTCACAAACAGGACACGATTAAAAATCTGGGACTGAACCCGTACAAGAAGGAACATAAATTAGAAGAGCAAACAACAACAACAACAAAAAAAAAAGAGTGGTTAGAATTCTTGCTCAGGTTTTGGAACACCAAATCTACAATGTACGGCCATCAGAGGCTCTCCATGTGTGAGGAACGCTCTTGCAGTGAGAGAATGGTATCCCTTCATGCAGTTGTGCCCTTGGATCTCTAAGCTCTTTTCTATGTCTGTAGAGAACTGATGCTACTTTTTTTGCACTGTGTACATGGTGTGAAATATGGCCCACTCTTTCATAGAAGATCAATATGATGCACGATAAATACTGTTATTGATCTTGCAGTGTTGTAGACGACTCTCCAGCTCTATGGCATATTAATAGTAGTTAACCAGTAATTCATTTCAGGACGGCTGGGATTTTCTTTTAAGGAAGGTGAGTTCTCGGGGTCAGTTACACATATGGGTATTATACACTCAGTAACCTATGAGGGGCTCCTGCCTTCACTGAGCAGAGCACGGTGAAAAACAGTGGTCCGGTCCTCAGTTAATGTAAACCAGTCTCAGACCATTTACTTCAATAAAGCTATAGCAATTTACACAAATTGCGGATATGCATGGCAAAATCAACGCAGAAGCCAGTATATAGATCATTCTTTCCCTTCTTACTTTTTGGGAGGAGGGAGGAGGAATGTCAGGGAATTTACAGGAATTTCTGTCATCTCTGTCTCACAGATGCAAACATGTTTTTAA